TACACTAATCGTATAACCCGCTGGCGTTGCTTTACCAACAGATATTCCAGTAATGATATTAATAACCGAACCAAGTGCATTTCCAGCGTACAGGTTGTACTTTTGGTAAACGTAATATTCCTCTTGCTCACGTGCGCTTGTCAGATTTACTGTCATTATATTATAGGTGATATTTTTTTTATCTCTAATTGTTGTTTAGCGCATGCGCAGTGTGTGGTAAATTATCAATTAGATATTAGACTATAGTATAATAATGTTGAAATTGCGTGATATAGCCAAGAGAAGTCTTATGGGAGAACCTGATAAAATAGCGACTGCTTTTACAGGTTTTGACAATAGTTATCAGTTTGATAATCAAATTGTTTTAGTAAATTTTACTACAATAAATCTCTTTCATCTGCTACAGACGACTGTAAAACGTGAGCTTGAAAAACACAAGGGTCTAAGATTGTTAGTGCAATATCACGTTATATTTTCAAAACTACTTGTGACGGAAGAATCTACTAACAAGGAAATTGCAGACCCTTACATCAACGCAAAATCTAGACGTGTTTTACTTGGTAGTGATCTTTTGTCACTATCTAATGAAATACACCAAGAAATTTGGAAAAAAATAGAAGAATTTACCGAATTAGGTTCGGGTTGGAAGTTTGAAATGATCAAGGAAATTTTGTTTCACACGATGAAATATGACGCATTACGCGGTAGTTCGTATATCGACCTGCCACCAAAAATAAAAAATAAACAGTGCTGTATAAACATAAAAAACATCGATAGCAAATGTTTCCAATGGGCTGTTCTTTCCGCGCTATTTCCAGCAGAAAAAAATGCTGATCGTGTTGAGAAGTATATCAGTCACGTGTCAAGATTAAATTGTGCTGGTATTGACTTTCCAGTGGCAGAAAATCAAATACCAAAGTTTGAAAAGCAAAATAATGTTTCGATTAACGTTTTCGGATTAGATGAAAAAGAAAATGTCTATCCGAGGTATATTTCAGAAAAAGCTTCACAATCGACTATCAATTTACTGTTTTATAAAAATCATTACGTTTGGATCAAAAACTTTAACAGACTAGTTGGAAGACAGTATAATAAAAATAACAACAAAAAGTTCTTTTGTTATCGCTGCTTGCACGGTTGTAGAGACAATGAAACATTACAAAAGCATTTGCAGTACTGTAGTGACGTACAAAGAATAACAATGCCATCTAAAAAAGATAGCGTGTTACAGTTTGTCCATCATAATCATAAACTAAAAATTCCTTTCGTCATATACGTCGATTTCGAATGCTTACTTCAACCTGTACTTGGCGTAGAAAATGATCCTAACCAATCGAGTACAAGAAAAATTCAAAATCATGTTCCATGTGGAGTAGCGTACAAGGTAGTTTGTTGCGTTGATTCGAGGTTATCTAAACCGATCAAATTATATCGAGGTAAAAATCCAGCTGTCTGGCTTCTCAAGCAGTTGATTAACGAAGTTGATAATATTACTTATCGTTTGAAAAAAGTAACTCCAATGTTAAAATTAACACCTCAACAAGAATCTGATCACGAGCAAGCGAAAATTTGTTATATTTGTGAAAAAGCTTTTGACCCTGACAATGTCAGGACTGACAAAAAAGTACGTGACCATTGCCATTTGACCGGACAGTATCGTGGAGCGGCTCATGACCAGTGTAATTTAAAATTTCACGCTCCAGATTTTATTCCAGTTATTCTTCACAATTTTCGAGGATATGATAGTCACATTATAGTAGAAGCTTTTGGTGATCTTGATATAAAATCTCGTCTAAAACTCGATAACATCATCAAATGCATCCCAAATAATTTTGAAAAGTACATGTCAGTTACGCTAGGTAAATTGCGTTTTATTGACAGCCTGCAGTTTATGGCAGACTCGTTAGATGAGTTAGTAAAAGGTTGTAGTAAATTTAATAACCTAAGAGACTGTTTTGGAGATAAATTTAATCTATTAGCTAAAAAAGGAGTTTTTCCATACGAATATCTCGACGATTGGAGTAAATTTGATGAAACATCTTTACCTAGCAAAGACAAATTTTACTCGCAACTTAAAAAAGAAAATATAACTGATGACGAGTACAAGTATGCACAAGATATTTGGAAAGAGTTTGATTGTGAGACTTTTGGTGATTATCACGATTTGTATTTGAAAACTGACGTGTTATTATTAGCAGATGTTTTTGAAAGTTTTCGAGAAGTGAGTTATAATAATTACGGACTAGATCCTTGCTGGTATTATTCTGCCCCCGGACTGTCATGGGATGCTCTGTTAAAGTTTAGTAAGGTAAGGTTGGAATTACTGACTGATGTTGATATGTTCAATTTTATTGAAAAAGGTATCCGAGGCGGTATTAGCGTGATAACGAAGAAATATGCTGAAGCAAACAACAAATATTTGAAAGAGTATAATCCTGACCTTCCTTCGAAGTATATAGTTTATCTAGATTGCAATAACTTGTACGGGTATTCGATGGCAGAACCAATGCCTCTTGGTGGCTTTCATTGGATCACGGCTGATCAATTTCTATCAGAGACAGAAAAAAAGATACCCGACGATGTTTCGTATTTCGTTGAAGTTGATCTCGATTATCCAACTTCGCTACACAAATTGCATAACGATTACCCTTTCTGTGCGGAATCGATGGTTATAGATTATAGTTTGTTATCAAAAGAACAACAAGCGTTAGCATCACCAAGGCAACATTCTATGATAAAGAAACTAGTACCAAATTTGCTTCATAAACGTAATTATGTTTTGCATTACAAAGCTTTAAAACAAGCAGTCGATGCTGGTCTTGTGTTGAGAAAAGTTCATCGCGTACTAAAATTTAATCAGTCGCCGTGGATGAGAGGTTATATTAACTCGAACACTACAAGAAGAGCTGCGGCAAAAACTGATTTTGAGAAAAACTTTTTCAAACTGATGAACAATTCTGTTTTTGGTAAGACGATGGAGAATATTAGGAAACGCGTAAATATCGAACTAGTCAATGATGTCAATCGCAGAAACAAACTTGTGTCAGACGATGATTTTGTGAGCATGAAAATATTTAATGAGAATCTTGTTGCGATACAAAGAAGAAAAACAAGTCTAAAACTAAACAAGCCGATCTACGTTGGAGCTTCAGTGTTAGATTTATCAAAGTGGCTGATGTACGATTTTCATTATAATTTTGTTAAAAATCAATGGCCGGCTAGTAGATTATTATTTACTGATACTGATTCGCTCGTATATGAAATTGAATGTGAGGACATCTATCAGGACATGCATGATAATAGATATCTGTTTGATCTTTCTGATTACCCACGTGACAGTAAATTTCATGACGACACAAATAAAAAGGTTATTGGTAAGTTCAAAGATGAAATGAACTCGAGCGCTATCAAATACTTTATCGGATTACGTAGTAAAATGTATGCCGTATTATTGGACAATAATAAAATAACAAAAAAAGCAAAAGGTCTGCCTCGTGATTTTGTTAAAAAGTTTATAAAATTTGATGACTACAAGTACGCGCTTGATGGCGGTGTTAGTTTTATAAGAGCTATGTCAATTCGGACAAATCATCATAAGCTCGAAACAGATGTCCTTATCAAACGCGGTTTGAGCAATTTTGATGATAAACGTTATTGCAAAAATGGGGTAGATACATTTGCACTTGGGTATTGTCATGATGATAGAGATATATTTGACATTATCTTTGCAAACTAAAATTTTATCTAAACTTTAAAAATAATGTTTGAAAATTTGACAGTAACAAATAGCTACAGTAGCAAAATCAAATATCTAATGATGGACGGCAAACCATTGACAGTTGAAATTAATAATGAAACATCAGGCATATGCTTTAGTGGTACTCGTGACAAGTTAAAACTTTCGCTCATCAGATCTGATGACAGCGAGTATTTTAATTATCTCGAACAATTGTATCAAAAGTTGCTAGCGGAATTTAACAACTTTCACTGTCCGATTAGTCAGCAAAAATACACCAAACTTACAATTGATCTTGATCGGTCAAAGTTGTATTTTATCGACAAAAAATACCCTCTTAACAAATCACAAATAAAAGATTTGTTTGAGTCCCGTCGTTATGTCAGCGGTAAAATAAAGTTTAGCCTCTATCACCATGATAATGAAATATTTTTGATATCTACAGTTGAGACATTAACAGTTGGTAATGAGGTATAATACCACTTACCTTACTGGAATTCTAATGCTTAATTTAGTCCACAATCGCCACGCTCTGCTAAATCATAATGATTTGGAAAATTGAGTCTGACATATCATTTTGCTTATTCTAGCAAATCACGTAATTAAATTTTACCTGTTACCTAGGTATTTTGCAACAGGTGTTCTATTGTATTTGTTTGGAGGTCTAGAGGGGTTGTTGAGCTCGGATTCTTAACGCAATTATTGATTGCAACAGGTGATCTATTACGTTACCTAGGTATTTTGTATTTGTTGAGCTCGGATTCTTAACGCAATTATTGATTGCAATAGGTTTTCTATTACGTTACCTAGGTATTTTGTATTTGTTTGGAGGTCTGGAGGGGGTTGTTGAGCTCGGATTCTTACTTTCTCCTACTACTTGGCAGTACATGTTCTCCAGTGTGTATTGAATGATACATTTGTACTTCATTGTGTAATGAACGCTGGCAGTACATGTTCTCCAGAGTGTATTGAACGAAAACAAACACATGTTCTTCAGAGTGTATCGAACGAGATATGTTTACATTTGACAATAGTCAGAAAAAATGTTCTTAGTTTTACTACAAAGGTCTTAAAATAAATGGCATGGAAAGGTTGTCAAATAAAAAAAAAAATATATATATATATATATATATATATATATATATATATATATATATATATATATATATACACACACACATTTGGGACTGTTAATAGAATGTTAATAATTGAGTGAAAAATATCAGCCTTGTTCACACATTTTATTTTTTCTCCAACCGCTACGGAGGCCTAATGGTTAGAGCATCCGCATCGAATGCGGGAGGTCGTGGGTTCGAGTCCCGGCAGAGTCATACAAAAACTTGCAAAAATGTTACTAACGGTTACCTCGCTTGGCACTTAGCATTAAGAGGTTAGTGTTCGGACTGGTCGGCCTGGTGTTAGGATAATGTGACTGGGTGGGACATAATGTTACATGTCTGCAGCATGATGTCCCATTGCTAGACCTCACTATAAACTACCACACTGCAGATATCGAAACGTTATGGCTGAAAAATTGTTAAAAGCTGCGTCAGAAATCTAAACACACTTTTTCTTCTAGCACAATTCAAATTAAGCCTATTACTGTTACGAATTTTGTCAAGGATTGCAATTGATAATTCCACTACTTGTGGAAACCTAGGTCTACTTTTTGAACATAATTTAACTGTATAGACATTTTTTTTTTATAAAAAATTTAAAATTGTGAATTCCAATTACTTTAAACTTAAAATGTTTAGCAGCATGATGAAACCATCCATGGTGCAGTGGTGACTTCTGACTAGAGTATATATATATATATATATATATATATATATATATATATATATATATATATATATATATATATATATATATATACTGTCACTAATATCTAACATTTTTGTACTTATTGACAGAAAGTGTTTAGAAAACTCTATGAAGATTAAATGACTTACACAAAATGCTCAAACTTCATAGATTCCTGTGTCATACAAACTTATTTATCAGATATGGCGCAGAGTGCATAATGACAAGAAATATTTAGAAAACCGTGCATTCGTCACTATTCCGTAAAATTAGGTGAACAATCTACAATTTGCAGAAAAAGTCTACATGTGTAAGCACTGTTACAGATGGAAAAATGGTACTAATAACGAAATACATAACAGTCGATTAAAAAAGTAATTTCTTATCAATTTGACTACGAAGAAGAAGGAGTTTTTCCCCGAAGTACAACGACTTGATCTGTTACCAATGCGCGGACTCAACAGGGAACTTGGAGAAAGCAGATTGCCAGAACTACACACGCCTGATGAATGTCAGTAGTTGCGGAGAGCAGGAAAAGCAGAATCTGAACCAAACTCAGATATAACACTTCTGCATTACTGAGTCATCATATTGTGTTGTGTTGTGTGTGTGTGTGTGTGTGTGAGAGAAAGAGAGAGAGAGAGAGAGAGAGAGAGAGAGAGAGAGAGAGAGAGAGAGAGAGAGAGAGAGAGAGAATTTTTATTGTCATTATATAGCCATCCTAGTGTTCACTGTAATGTTAAACATAAAATTTTCATACTGATTTATCATTTAAGGAAGTAAATGAGAGGAAGAAAATATCTATAATGGTAATTTTTAGAAATTACTGAAGTGTGGATAGTAATATTTTGAGAATACAGACTATTTTATTCTGAAAGGAGTCTGGTTTCCAATTTATGATACAGCCTTTGTGTGATATTTCTAACTCTGTCTTTCACTGGTCTGAATTTGTATTCCATGTTTAAGGATCAAGTTCACAAATCTTAATTTATTTCACAGTTGTTCATTCTTTATAAATATGCATGCAAATACTTCCTGTTTCTAGTTAAGTCCTGCAATATAGGATACTTCCCATGATATTTGTTTTTTTTGGGCAAACCAAAAACTTCATAAATATGAAGAAAGCTGTATTAAATTTTAGGACTAGGCCTGTGTTCAAGTGTGAAATTATCCAACACAGCACCAATGGTTCATCCATCATTCATGTAATGCTATATACATATACCTATCTGTCTCCATCTTTACTCAATATCTCAAGGAGTGTTGACCTTGAGGTCATGCATCCTTGAGATTAGATTAATGTGAAAGACTACACCATCATTTGGCTAATATTTGGTCAATGTGTTCTTTACTAAATGTTCTGCTCCCAGGTCAAGATATCTAGAGATGGCCAGAAACTACTTTCTAACATTTTACATGCATGTATGTTACTAACATAGGAAAATGTCAAAACACACCATTTGACAAATAAACAATCAAGTGACGTGACTTTACACTACTTTCAACGTATCATACTAAAACATGGAAATTAACTTGCACAAAGACAAAGCAGAACAGAAACAAGAATTTTACAAAAACATGACATTGAGAAATCATTCAAAATCAAGCTTTAAATATTTGAGATATTTTCTATAAAACTTTCAACATAAGTGGTTGATCGAATTGGTATGGACAAAAATATTTCTTACAAACTTTTTAAAACTACATTGAAATTATTTTTCATTGGGATTTGAAAATTTGTAACATAAATTGTAAAGCATAAGGAATATTCATTCTGCTGTTAAGTATTTGGGCCTTTACCATATTGCTTAGGCAGATCCTGTCTATATATTGTAGGACAACTGTAGGATAATTGTAGAACTGTATGATAATTGTAGGACAACTGTAGGATAACTTGGTGGAGTTCTATGTGTAATAGTATGTAGATACATAATACAGTTTTAATTTTTCATTGATCTACAATATATTTAACTTTTTGTACATCTACATTTATTCAAAGAGTAAACCTGAAACATTTATACTACACTCAGAGTAATTTTTAAACCATATGGCATACAGTAGATTCTTGTAAGCCCAGAGATCATTACCTCCTACATGGATAATGGCTTGGTATGGAGATAAATCCATCTGCATAATTTTGAAGGTAACTATTTATTTTAAAATCTTTACATGCTTTAACATCAGTATTTCTAAGAATTTTCGTTTTTACTACCATCACAGTAAATGCTCCTATAAGCAAGAGTTTTGGTTTGCTAACTTTTGTTGGTGCAACTATTTTTTAAGTATTTACTTGGTGACAACATCAATCTAACATTTGTATTAGTGAAGTATACTTTGTAGTAGTAATAGGTATATGTACTGGTATAGGCCTATGTTATATATTATACAGGTATAAGTCTATGGTATACATTGTACTCATAGAGGCCTATGGTATATCTTGTACTAGTGTTAGCTTATGGTATGCATTGTGTTCATAGAGGCCTATTGTATATATTGTACTGGTTAAGACCTATGGTATATATTGTACTGGTTTAGGCCTATGGTATACATTGTACTGATATAAGCCTGTGGTGTACATTGTAATAGGATAGGCCTGCGGTGTACATTGTACAGGTACAGGCTTATGTTATACACTGTACTGGCATAAGCCTATGGTATAGATTGTACTGGTATAGGCCTATGTTAAACTGGAATTTGCTTATGATACACATTGTACTGGTATTGGCCTATCATATGTATTGTATTGGAATAGGTCTATGGTACACAGAGCTCCAATTTTTTTTATTTAGACAGACAATGGGGTCATGACTTAAATAAACTCACAAGTCCTAAATGAAATGGTATAGGTATATGGTATATATTGTACTGTAACAGGCCTGCAGTATACACTCTACTGGTATAGGCCTATGGTAAACATTGTACCAGTATAGGCCTATGGTATATATTGTACTGGAACAGGCCTGCAGTATACACTGTACTAGTATAGGCCTATGGTATACATTGTATAAGTATAGGCCTATGGTATATATTGTACTGTAACAGGCCTGCAGTATACATTGTACTACATTGTACTGGTGGTATAGGCCTATGGTAAACATTCTACCAGTATAGGCCTATGGTACACATTGTACTGTAATAGGTCAATATTTTCTTTTTTTTTCTGGCAAATGTGGCTTGATTAATTATTTAATTTGAAAACAAATCAAATTATTAACCAAATATATAACTTGCCTTATATCCAACTATCCCAAATGTGATATTAGTCCGAGAGCCATGCTCACTTAGACTCTACATAGCAAAAGTACAAGTCAGTCTGAGAGCCATGCTCACTTAGACTCTACATAGCAAAAGTACAAGTCAGTCTGAGAGCCATGCTCACTTAGACTCTACATAGCAAAAGTACAAGTCAGTCTGAGAGCCATGCTCACTTAGACTCTACATAGCAAAAGTACAAGTCAGTCTGAGAGCCATGCTCACTTAGACTCTACATAGCAAAAGTACAAGTCAGTCTGAGAGCCATGCTCACTTAGACTCTATATAGCAAAAGTACAAGTCAGTCTGAGAGCCATGCTCACTTAGACTCTACATAGCAAAAGTACAAGTCAGTCTGAGAGCCATGCTCACTTAGACTCTACATAGCAAAAGTACAAGTCAGTCTGAGAGCCATGCTCACCTTACACCCTACATGGCAAAATGACATGTTAGTCTAAAAGCAAAGCTCACCTTTGACCCTACATGGCAAAATGACATGTTAGTATAGAAGCCATGTTCACCTTTAACCCTACATGGCAACAGGACATAATGTTAGTCTGTGAGCCATGCTCACCTTAAACCCTACATGGAAAAACCACTATAGTTAAACTCAAATTTAAAACAATTACTTCAATTACTTATAAATAACATAGACTGCATTGCCCCTCATGAAAATATTGAGTTTTGACCCATTCAATGAAATATATTGATTATTCACTTGTAACAAGGAAGTTTTCTTTCTATTTTATGCAAAGTAATTTACAAGCTGGACATAAATTAATTGAGTGTACATTAACTTAAATTTTATAACTTTATCTTACCTATATTACAACTTCATGTCCAGACAGAAACGTACCTTAAGCACATGTGAAGACTAAACTACTTCAACTCAATATTAAGACTAAACTGTACATCAGCTACATGTCATAGTGCTGTGATTTGTTTCTGTTTATTATCGATTAGCTTGCACTTTTTATCACAATTAATTGTTGATGCATAACCTGCATAAGTAAAGAATTTTCCCTAAATTTGTAATTTTCATTTTTGTAAGTGGGGTGGTGAGAAAAGAGATGAAAAGGAGTGGTTAGAAAGCATATATAAAATGTATAAATGTACTCTGTTTGATTTCTCTTGTTACAACACAGCATCCTGAAGTTATTCAATACCCAGGCAATCGGGTCAAATACCTTGTAAATAAACACCATGATAGCTAACCTAGCAGGCTTGTATCATAAACCTTACAATGACTGGAGGATGTATCTGATGGAGAAAT